CCATTATTATGTTTTCTGTTTGTTGGGAATGATTGATGATTGACATTAGTTTGCAATTGGATACAATTCCGTATTTTGAATGGGCCACTCAAGAACATAAACTCACTTCTTGCCAAACCACTCAAGCGGGGCTTTGGCTTTCAAATCATTGTTCGCAAAAATGTGGGGTTTTTTGCCCACTGTTAGATTCTTGGGTGACTCATGCTGGTTTTCCTCTAGGATTCACCTGTACTTTGCTCAGTCTCCGGCAGAATACCAAGCAAACTCAGTGCCAGATGCATCTCATCTGTCAGTCCCTGCTTCAACTTCCTGCTGACTGTGTGCTGTACAGTATATCTCATGCAGGTTTTTAGATGAGTCTTTTTCAGTAAAGATGTCTTTCTTGCCATTTACCCTTATACTGTAAGTCTGTTTTCTGTATGTGTCTTTTTAAATGTTGGCTTCATAGTGGCCTAACCTGGTTCCTGTTGCTTCCTACTCAGGTAAGAAGAGCAGCCTGATCTAGGTACTGTCAGGATGAAATGGCACATATATCACTTCTTAATGATTGACTTTACCATTCTCAAAGGGAAACAAAAAATATATGCTCATTATATGTGTCCCTACCACTTCATCCCTAACAAGTTTCAAAAGCTCATTGGTCTTCATGCTCAATTTGGTGCATCTCTCTGTGTGTTGTGGCTTGAAATTGATTATCTGTCTGTGGAAACCTACAGAGACTTAAATTTGTGCTTTAACCACAGAGGTGGTTACATTAATGTTTTGAAGTTTCAGTCAAAACCTTTCCACTTGAACTGACAGAGAGCTGTTGTAGCAAAGGGGTTAAATAACTGAGAAGTCTTTTTATTTTCTTTAAATGTAAAATGTATATACAGTACATACTGTAAGTATTTTCTATTGTTTTGGTTTGGAGTACATTATGTAGATTATATATAGAAAATACATTAAAGTGCCATGATTATAAGATCAGACAGTAACAAAATGTAGACGTTTTGCAAGAGGATGAATGATTTTGCACTGTAAGTACTAGATAAATAATTACACTTAATAATGGGATGCAGATGGTCACTGATACAGTGCTTGTTGTAAATCACTAACAAGCTTTAATAAAACTACAGCAATTTTACTCAGTGGTGTAAATGATTTGTTTTCCTAAGTGCACTCATTTACACGGCAGTGCATCTGTGTATGTGGACTTTTATCTCAGCTTGATGCTGGTTTAAGTATCTTGTTGCGTATTAAGTATATTAAGTATCTTGTTGTTGGCTTGCTTTTTAACCCCTCGTGAGTTGTGAGAATAAGAATGTGGCAGAACTTGATGCAGTGGAGTCGTCTGTGTAAGTATGGCTGTTGAAACCCTCCACACACATCTTTCCTCTCCACCTTGTACAAAGACAGTAATTGTTTGGGCAGATAAAGAAGAAAGTTGAAAAAATACATTAACAATTCTCTGGCTACCACTTGTAATTATGTACCATCACATGCTGTCTAAGGCACTCTGATCATAAACAAGAGATTAAAAAAAACAAGGGATTTAGTATCTCTCAGACATCCGGGAGCTTTTTTCAGAATATGTAAGAAAGATTTATATTGTCCAGCGGTTCCCAAAATCTAATATGTTGGTTTAAAGTGCATTTCTCTGTTGTAACAAATGACAGCTTTTACTGTGCTATTTTATGATGCCTTTATTTTCTGCAGTGCAGTGCTTTGCTTTGCACAGAGCAGTCTTTATCTCCTGCTGTGCCTTTGTGCACAAATTATTTTAGGTATCACACTGATCCCAAAATGAGGAAGTGGAGATTGTACAATATAAAACAGAAAAAGAAATTGAACTTCTATCTTGAAGGAATTCTAAACAGTTCAAAATAATTTCTTCCAGTATATTACAAATACAGACTTTGACATAATTGTCAAATACAGACACAGATTGGATGATAGGCTATCAGAATTTAAATGGTAGATTTTCTAACATTTTCTTACTTCTTCACAATTCTTTGTATATCAGTGAATGAATTAGATGAAGTGGGTTTTCTTATGCCAGGTGTTACTGGCTTAAAAAAAAAAAATTTCTAGGGTGTGTTCAGAAGAAGCAGGAAATAATCCATACCACGGTACTGAACCGTAACAAGTTAGTAAGTTGTCAAAGCTACTGTGTTCACAGTAAAACTAAAGGATTTTGGTAAGATTTAACTAGCTGCTGTTTGCAGATGTAATCCAGAAAATCAGAGAAAACCTTGGAGTGTCCGCTCTAGGAAAATGCCTTGTGACTGAGGCTCACCAGGGTGAAGTGGAACTCCACGAGTCTGCTCTGGTTCATGGGCTTTGACTGCAGCTCAGCACCTGTGCGTAGATGTTCCAGCAGAGCGGGCAGCGGGTGTGAGGCCCATTCCCTTCCCAGCGCTTCCTGCCTGATGGGAATTCCTGTGGACGTGCTGTTCCTGGAGGGCGTCATTAGCCTGTGTTCAAAGAAAGAGCACCAAGAACGACTCCAGGATATTACATAGCACCCCCCACTCCCATCCCTTCTCATGCCACAGACAGGAGCTGGAAAGGTGCAGAGGAGTGTTTTATTAATTTATTGGTTCACACCTGTTCGTTTTCATGTGGAGTAACAGAGTACCGGCACCTGGTGTGTTAAGACTGGGTGAGGCCACTAGATGGAGACGTAGGAACACATAGACACCAAAAGAAAAGATTTCGCAAGTTCAACTTGCGACAGGGGTCATCTACTACACCAGTAAAGTCTCGTGGTGAGACAATGTGTGAATTGAAAGAGACACTCTGGGGGGAAAAACTGAAATACAGCAAGGTTTAAGATAATTAACTTTACCACTGCTGTTGTGTCAGCACACTGTAGCACACTTGTGAGTCTGATATGTGTCCCTGGCCAAACAGGATCAGACGGTTAATTTAGGGCTTTAGTAAAAAGGGGAATCCGACCATATTCGGGTTGGGAAGGTTTAAAACAACAGGATTGATCCAGCCTCAGCACACTTCCTCCCTTTCCCAGACTAAGCAGAGGGGTTTAATGTCTCTCAGTTGTTCATGGCAACATACACAAGTAGGAGGATCTGGTGTAGGTCCCTATAATAATGAACTCAGTTCTAGTCACCGGTGGATGTGGTTTACAATCCCAATATAACCCAACTTCTCATTCATTTTTGTACAGTTTTATACTGGTCATAGACTCCTGCCTTGCTTAGCGTATGCATCTGTCAGTTAATATACATTCACATAGATCAAGCTAATGATTCACTTGTTTTTGTCTCTCATTTGTCTTTCCTAGCTTTTGTCTTGTTCTGTGGTAACTTTCAGTGCTGAGTCATGTTGGGATCAGTGACTGGTGGCTGCTTAGTATGCAACAAGAAGGCGTCTCAGCTCCTTCAAGCTAATGGACAGGCTCTGTGTCCTGCATACCAAAAAGTGCTTTATAGGCGAGGAGTGCAGTGCAGAGCTGGTGTGAATGTTTTGAAGCTCACAGAAAACACGTAGTATAAAACTGCATTTTCATTACACTGTCTGCTGTCTGTGTGTTTTTAGTTTTTTTTTGTATTGTACCAAAAAACAAATTGAATATTGTGTTGTTCATGCTTTCACAGGGTCACAAAGCACATGTGTAAATGTCGAACTCCAATCTTGGTGTATTCAAATGGGGAAACTGTATTCAAACTGTTTGCAGTATGTAAGGTAGTTTGTGTCCCACTGTACTCTAAAGCTGAGGTGACACACCTGTGCATTCGTTTGATTTTATTAATTAATTAATTATTGATTAATTGATTGATTTTATATTATGCAGATCCTCTACATTAAGGTATGGATCAGTGCTTCTTTACTGCCTGTCCTCACTTAAATATGTAGGTCATGCTTTCCTTCTCTTTGATTTTTTTAAATCAATTTGCAGTCAGCTGTTATTTTCGTTACATGAGCTAGTGTACACATTCTTCACTGTCCTGGCCACCTGTGAGCCACATGTCTTTTAACACGTTTTGGCCACCCCAGCCCTTGTTGCGCAGCACTGACTGGAGTAAAGGCACATCCCTCCTGAAGGGACTGGGTGTCCCCAAGTGCCAGGGAGGCTCCAGGAGTCTTAGCTGAAAGCAAAGAAATTCCAGCTAATCCCTACGTCCCCTGTGCAGCATTAAATCACACTGCTTGGGCAATCCCAGTCACAGTCAACTAGTGACATGACCTGGTCTTGAACCTGTGATCATAAGTCTTACCAGTGCTTGGGCATCTTGGGTATCTTTGACAGACCAAGGACACCTCTCTGATTTTAGATCCTTGTTATTTATTATTCCTTATACCGACTCTTACTTGAACAGCTAACCAAGAGCGAGCCAGATTGTGGAAATGCAGGAATTGCTAACACAGGAAGGCCAGAGTTCAGAGCTGCAGTGCATGCTCACATCACAACAGTGATTTGTGACAGCTAGCCCGGAGGCATCCAGGTATGCTTATTTGTGCCTCTCATAACGTGTGTTAGATGTAGTAATTATCAAAAGACTTAGATGAAAGAGAATCCATAGCTGTCATAACTAAAAATACTCTTGTGGGGGCCTTATTTCAGATGTTTTCTGTGTGTTCCTACAACAGGAATGAAAAAGAGCTTAAACTGTGTGGTTGAGAGACGTTCCCAAATATCATTCACTTCTTTTTCAGCCCTAGAGTTTCTTTTTATGGGGAACATTTCCAGGGGATGTTCTTATTTTAAAAGCTAAATACTTCGAACTTTGAAAAAGTTAAAAAAAAAGAGACCACGAGCCAAGAAATATATTTTTGTATGAAACAAGTCATCTTACATTTTAACTTTCTTTTGAAACACTGAACAGCTTGTACCAAGACTTTACTAGTTTACAGACATATAGACTCTCACCATTTCTGTCACTCATGATTTCTTGTTATGTAGCACGGTGGCCTTTTAGGCATTAATTAAGTGTACATGACATACAGCACACTTTGTGCATCTGAGTAACTGATGGGGGATTTGTCGTTGGTGTCAGATTCTGCGGGGAGTGTCTGCAGCCCTGCCTCCAGGTGCCCTCTCCATTGTGCCCACTGTGCCGGATGCCTTTTGACCCAAAGAAGGTGGACAAGTCCTCCAATGTGGAGAAGCAGCTGTCTTCTTACAAGGCTCCCTGCCGGGGTTGCAGTAAAAAGGTAACAAACAGAGATGCAGGAGATGTATCACACACTCCACCCCAGCACATCAGCTCACACCAGAATGCTGTACTGCACATGTAAAACAAGAATCCTTTTATTATTTACACTGAAGAGGTCCCAATACTCAAGTATAACAGAAAGTGGATCCTTAAGTAAAATCTAGATGTTATTTTTTCTATGGCCAAAAACGTGTTAATTGTGTGACATCAGAGGTGCTTGATGATGGAGTTTTGAGAGCTCTTTGTTGCTGCTCTCTTTCATCCAGACTTCTTAGTGTCCACAGTGTCCTGACACTCCACATGGCAAGCCCATTGAATCACGTCAAACATCCCAGTACAGTCTTTCTCTTTTTCTGAGCAAAATGGCCATAATTGTGCACATTTCCACTCTTATCACCCGAGTTTACTTTCTCCTGAAGTGTTTGTGTGATTGATGATAAACAAGGGGTACACTGCTGTCCCGACCTGACATGTCTCTGTTGCACATTGGCTCTAGGTTACTCTGGTGAAAATGAGGTCTCACGTTTCCTCATGCACCAAGGTTCAAGAACAGATGGCAAACTGCCCCAGATTTGTACCTGTTGTACCCACCTCACAACCCATTCCTAGGTAAGTGGTTTTCTGGTAGAGTTGTGTTTTCATTACTTGTGAAAATCTCACTCAGCGATGGTGCAAAGTACAGACAAAATCTAGAGGAAAACTTGAGTCACCAAACAATCATAAAGTCATAAAGACTGGACACAATTTTAACATCTGACTCTACAAAGCTGGTACAGATCTAAAAATATATACATTAATTGGTGCCATAGATAATTGCAGCATGTACTAACTTAGGGGGCTAAATATGTAAGCAATCAGGATGTTGCACTTTGTATGTCCCTGCAGTTTTTTCTGACATTCAACCCTCTGTTCACAGTGTTTAGATTGAGTTATACTACTAATACATCACCTTACAGTTTTGCATGAAAACAGTTCATTTGAAAAAAGAATATACATTACTTGAAATTCATCATAATATGATATTATTGGCATGGTATGAATACTTTTCCATGGCATTGTAGATCCATGAGTTAGAGAGGAGAGGACATTAAAATGTATTTAAGTAGTTGATTCAAAGAAATGATAAAGTACAGAAAATATTGAGAAAAACGGTGGATGGAAAACTGAATGCAGATGTCTTTTCATTACAAGTGTCAAGATCACTGTTGTTGCCATGCACAATTATGACATGAGGGATAAGCACAAAATTGGCAATTTACAAATTGCTTTCAATTATTTCTCAAAATAAAATGGGAAAATTGAGATTCTCTTAACTTTCATCCACACACATTTTAGTCAGCACCCACGTTCTTTGTAGCAACATCCTGAAAAAAAACACACTGTGCAAATGCAAATTCATTTAACACAAACTCATGTATTGAAATAATGTTACATATTTCTGCCCAAGGCTGACACTAATGGAATTTTGCCATGTGAAATTCCTTGTCCGTCTTCACAATAGGTTTTTTTAATTTCCACTGTTAATTATTATTTCAAGGAGACTATTACAGTCCTCCAGTGAAATGGAAATGCATTATCTTGTGATGATATGTGGATAGTGCAAACTAGCCTTGACAGCCAATTTGGCCTGTCTTTGCTGATGGAGAGAGCACAGGCGAATTAGCAAATGAAGGTTTGTCAGAATTCAGTGTGCTCTAAGAATTACATCTCAAAGGTCTTTAATGCATTGTGTCATTGTCTGCCGTGAAGCATTTTGCAGTAGTTTCTTAATGTGTTGGTGACAGAATTTTTTATAACAATTAACGGATTTGGCATAATGAATTTTTATAATTCTTTTCTCCAAAGCTTCATTCAGCATCTGTTGAAACGTGCTGAAAAAGAACAGACTCAAGACACAGTTAAGCAATGTGATATTCTGTTCATACTTTATTGAGACTGAGAATGAGAAGGGAGGTTCAGGAGCTCCTGCAGCGCTGTCATCAAATGTGTGTTTAATTAGACAGTTAGCTTGTTCCTGCTGACAGAGCCTTGAGCAGCCTGTTAACACAAAGCCATTATCACTGTGCTGCAGTCTGGAACAAGGAAAAGAATGAGGAGGGGGATATCAAGTTCCCTACTGTAGGAAATGCATGGTTTGTGCTTCATTCTTTAAAATATCCTCATTGATGTTTTACAGCAGAGACATGTGGCTGCGCAGCCTGCACAAGTATCTTTCCTACACAGATCATGTTCTTGCAAAGAGAAAACACACATTTGCAGTTTATTGAAACAGGCTCAGGCCAGACAGATCTGGCCAGTCACATTCTAGGCCCTGGGCAAAAAGCTTTTGTTCATTGGTTCCAGTGTTCTCCGAATTTTTCAAAGAGTTTTTGATTATTTGGGCTTGTATTGCTATCAGGGAGATGATATTTGAGAAAATGTCCCCTCAAAGATTGGCGCTGGTGGAGCTCTGTGATCAAGGGCAGCACGGGTCACGTCACTAGCGGACTGTGACCGGGATTCCCCGAGGAAAAGTGCTTCTTGTTAACAGTTTGCTAGAGCGGGCTGGAAATAGTCGGCCAAGACTTTCTCTGAACTCGGCAGACATAGCGGCCCCTGCGGCCTGCTGGGTAATTGCAGGTTTGTGGTGCCTGTAGTGGCAGGAAGGTGAGCGGGGCGGAGTGTGCACACTCTGTCGTCCTCTCCCGTGTGCGGTCACAGGCTCCTTAGCCATGAACCACGACATATAAAGCAAAATACTATGCAGGCATAACAAAAACAATTAAATGTGTGATTCTTAAATGAAGGAAAAACAGATCGTAGCGCCTGGCAATCAAATGTAGGGATGTTCCCACAGTGTAAATAATTTTTTTAGACCAAATATATTTAAAATCTCTAAGTGTCCAATTTCACCCCATATGGAGTTTCATTTTGGTAGAGCATGGAGTGGTAAAAGCTGGAGTCAATGGCAAATCCCCACAAGACAGGATTACAGACGTGACTATCTAAGGTAATATAAGGTCACTTGTTTCCATTGCTTTCGATGACGGCTACTCATCAGGCTTTTCCTCATTTTGCTTATTTTTGAGCGTTGTGTTGTTACCTGGTTAGAGCTTTTCTGTCTCATTCTCAGCAATATTCCAAACCGCTCCACTTTCGTGTGTCCATTCTGTGGGGCCAGAAACTTAGACCAACAGGAGCTGGTGAAACACTGCATGGAGAACCACCGCAATGACCCCAACAAAGTGGTGAGTCCTTGAGGCATGACCACAGTCCCATGCCTGGGAGGGTATCCACAGTGCAGTTTGATTTTTGCAACTCGCTCAGTTTATTGAACCTAATTGTTTAAAGGTGCAAATCTGTGAAGACCCCACATACAGTAGTTGTTGAGATGCAAAAAGTTGTTTTTTTTTGGAGCATGACTTGATTTTGGAATTTGTGCCTGATTTTATCTAAAAGGTGGAAAAATTGGAAGAAAAAGACTGTAGCAAAGCAAGACATTTTGGAATCCGTCTTGTTAATGCAAGAATGACGTTTGTTGAAGTTCCAGGTGTATTGATTTGTCTTTTACGTGTGTAGTAAAGTTGTGCAGTGCTGGGGACTGACAGAGGTGTGTGGTGCCCAGTGCCTGCCCGGTGTTTGACAATGTGCACGTGTCTGCCCTGCGCCAGGTGTGTCCTGTCTGTTCAGCCATGCCTTGGGGAGATCCCAGCTACAAAAGCGCCAATTTCCTGCAGCACCTCCTGCATCGGCACAAGTTCTCCTATGACACATTCGTGGTGAGGAGGAGAAGGCCTTGGTGCTGGCTTTTCATTTCTCTCTTCTTTGCTGCACTAGCCCATCGTGTCCTAATAAACATACTTTTCAGCCCTTTAACTTTTAAAACCTGTCAGCCTTTTCTGTTTGTAAGAAAACGGGGGCGCTTCAATTATTAAACTTAAAATATATAGATGTTCTAGCTTCCATTTTTTAACTATCAAAGTACATTCAATCGAAAAATATACATTGATGCTCATCTGAAAGGAATACCAGGAATGTTATGCACTTTACATTCACTTTATCCCATTCTTTTCTCCCCTCTTCCTGCTTTGCCACATGTTGATGTGTTGAATAAATTCTGCAGCACTCCAGGCAGCACTGAGTTAAAGTATTGTATTTACAGTCTTACGAACAACATCAGTCTGGATTTTAGAATGCAAATTGTGAAAGGAAAATGTTCTTGAAACGCACAGGCGAGCCTAGAGAAGCATGCCTGTGTTGGGAGAGCGTTTAAAGAAATGGGACTGGAAAGCAGGCACTAGTATAAACATTGTGCTACAAGAATCAATAACTTTACAACCCTTGAGTACAGATGGCTGTTCTCCCCATGTTCATGAACTCTGGTTTCTTAATATTACAGAGTTCACAGTAATCTGTTTGGGCAGTGTAGTTGTAAGGTACGGTTTCTGACAAATGTATTGGAACTGAATGAAGGGCAGGGATTATGACGGGGCTCTAAAAATCAAACTGTAAAACAAAGCTTGGGATACTGTCAGAACAGTTAGCACCAAAAGCTCTGGAATTGAGTGGCTAAAAAAAACTTGATACCATACATTAAAATTGAAAGCATAGGAAACGCCCATTTTAAAATATCTGCATAAACCCCCCCCAAAAACCGGTAAAGCTAAACACTGAAATTGCTAACCTTTTCCAATGTTGTCTTGAAATGATTAATTCGGCTAGAAAAACCTGCAGCCATTTGTGGCTGATTCTTATTTAGAGTACGTGTTTTGCATCTATCAGGATTGAGAAGTGAGCCATGTCGTCTTCACACAACAGAGGAAGCCATGGCTCTGTGCCCAGTGTGCTGATGGCACCTTTCCCTTTGTTTGCAGGATTACAGTATTGACGAGGAGGCCGCCCTGCGGGCAGCCCTAGCGCTCTCACTCTCCGAGAACTGAAGGCACCAGCCGCCTCTCCAAGACCATCATCCTTTGCACCGGGCACCTCCCTCTGCTATCTCCTGCCGCAAGGCGCGTCACTGCATTCCACACTGTGCATCCGGCCTCCCCAGCCCCCCGAGCTTAACGATTCCAGTCAGTTCTTTTTCCTCTTTGTCGTTTCCAAGATGAGGAGGGTCTAATAGTGAATTCCACAGGCTGGGTAGTACATGAACCCTGAGATGCAGTGTAGCGTGTGCACATGTGACAGCAGCTGAAATAAGCCAGAGTGACCCAGTACAGTTCTAGAGGTGCACATGTGCCGAACAGGTTTCCTTCTGCTGTATTTTAATTTATTTTCTCAGACCATTTTTTCTTATTGTTTTCAAGTGGACCAAACTGCGGTTTCTGAGAAAAGTGAGATAGTGCAGTATGCTACAGGTGGGGTGATCAAACTCTAACCCCTATCACTTTCTTCTGCTGTTAGGGCACAGTTATGAGTGCAGTGAGGGAGGCAACATGCTAGAAAGTCATAAAAAAACAAATATCAATAGACATAAATTCGAGCTTTCCCCTTTTTATAAGGGTTCTTGTGAATACTTGCACTTAACTGCATTTTCTATATGATTAAAGAGTAGAACTGTTCTTATTTTATAGTTAACAAATATAATAGCAATGCATTTATTCTTCATACTGCTGTTAACTGTTTGACTTGCTACAATAGTATTTTTTACAAAGCATCAGATAAAATATATTTTTAAAAACATTTTCAGTTTCAAATGGTGCACTAACAACAGGAACGTAAAACAACTGGGGTGATTATTGTTGTTTATCCATTTTATGTAACTGTGAGTACTGTACTGCTCAGTCAAACAGGGTTTGTACATGACTGGCTCTGCTAAGGGAAGCTTTAATAACCTAAACAGAAATGAACTCTATGTGTAATTACCTGGCTTGGACACAAGGTGGCAGCCGTGTTATACTGCTGTATTTCTGTATTTTACAAATACCTGTAGTAACGAGCAACAGGGTCTTTTCTAACTATCTTTAAATACATTTAAGTGTGCTAAACTTAGAAATATGGATATTTGCAGTATTGTAAGAAAGTTCTGGGATTTCTTCTTTAGAATGTTTTTGGGTTTCCTGTTTTTACAGCAGCTTCTGTTAACTTATGTAAGTATTAAATAAGTATCATTAGTTTCTCTTCTGGGCTTCATAACAAGTAATGTGAACCACTTAGTTTATGAGCAGTAGCCCAAGTCTCAGCCTAAGCGGTTATGGTGAGCAGGCCTGATTAAGGAAGGACATCAGTCTAAGGTAGGGTCACATACAGTAACTGAACAGCATTTGTCTTTACTGAGCAGCTACTTGGTAGTTCCAGTTGGGTTGCCCAGGTTTATCTCGGTCTTCCTGGTTCAGTAGCTCAGCACCATGAGCCATTTGGGTTATCTGGGTCTGAAGAAGGTGTGTCAAATAGGTAGAACAGACATTCCTCTTCCTCACTGCTCACACTCTGTGTCTACATCCCCTGTAGACTGTCAGAAATGAGTCAGTGTTTCAGAGTGGAGGATATGACCCAGATTACACGAATCTACTCAAAAGTCATTCTTAAATGTCATTAGCAGTAAGGGTCCTGTGGAAGCCTCTACCAAAAGTACAACCATATTGCAGATGTCAGGCAAATCAGCAATAAGATGTTGAGTTTTTTTTTATAGCTGTTTTACCTTCTAAAGGACAAGAAAACCAGCATTGCTTGTGTCTGTCACAATCATGGGTCTATAAAGTTCCTTTACCATAATTCTTATTTGTAAAAGCACAGTTAAGTCCATAAATAAAACAAAATGATGTAAATAAAATCAGATCCAGCCCTACTAATTGCATTTTAAAGTAAATGTTCTCCTTGTTGTAGACTTATTTCTGTATTAAAGTACTAAAATGCAAACATTCAGTACCAAAACGGAGATATATTCTCTGCTGCCCTTAATGAGATTTTAAATCCCTTGCAAAACATGCAGTGCAAGCATTTGTCACTTGTTTTTAACTTTTGTTTTCTTTTATACCCACCTTGTTCAAATAGTTGTTTCTTTACCCTTCAGTTCACAGTAGGGACACCTGTACCGTGTGCCATGAATGGGTTAGGAACGTTCCTTTTGACCCACTCGTCTGTTCGATGAGTTTGCTAGAAGCTCCACAGAGCCTGACAGGTAAGTTAGTGCCAATTGGACGTGTAGCGTTTGACATCCAGTGGCATCACTACAAGCCTGTTGAATCTTCAAATTTTGTTATTTCACTGAGATAGCCTTGGCCAGCCAATCCCAAACCTGCCTTTGTGGCACTCAGCCAATCACATGGCACCGCTCAGTCAGCAGCTGTGGCTTTGATGTTTTCAGAGTGTATCTACTGGACACAAGAAAGTTTAATAGAATAATCTGGTTTACTCATCATCTTACAAAATGTTAAAACAGTTATTCACAGCTGAAAATGGGTATCAGTGGAGGTTTGTGAAGGTATATTTGTTGATTAGAAGAAATTATTGGCCTTTAGTGGTATGAATGATTGACAGTTCTTTTAAAAACAGTCTGGCTTCCAAGTCATTCCATTGTAGCTTTCAGTTACTGCCAAAATGCCCTTTTTATCTTCACTTAATATAGGAAGTTAAATAAGCCTTTGATATAATCATTTACAAAAGGAAAGTAACTGAACTGCCACTGTCAACTGTTTTCTCCACTAAATATTAACCTTATTAGCCTGATTACATTAACACAATGTAATAATATAATGTTATTACATTAAGTTAACCTTATTCAAGCTCTTTTAATTATGGAATTAAAAGTTCCTTCTTATGTAGTTTTCTTTTACTTATGTTTAAGTCTTCCTCTTGTTTATTACACTAGTTATACAAGTGTTGACCATAGGTGTGAGATGATCAGAATTGCATCAGCAAATTCTTGCTCAGTTAAACAAATGCTTGCCTGTGAACCTGTAATTAAGTTAAATGCATGCAAGCAAGGACCCCAGCTATTGCGATTATGGATTGCCTGGTCCTGTATCTTTTTAAACTGATTTCTGGAAAGAGACACCGTCTTGATCTACACATGCTGCAATACACATTTGAATCATGAAGTGCATTTTATAATTAGGATGCGTGTGAGGGTCTTGACTGTTAAGAGAGTCATCAGTTTCAGAATCTGTGTAGGTGAAGTTAAAAAAAACATTTAAATAAACTCAAATTATCCTGCACAGTTTCAATATTTAAATTTAGCAAGGCCTGCATGTTGCAGGTCAGCTCCTTAATGAAATACATCATGTATTTAAGCGCAAATGCTCAGATACTTTCCAAATCAGGAGTAGGTTGCAAAAAAGAGAAACAAAATTATGATTTGCAATACATGTTTTGCCTGATGGTGTTTCCCTATAAGGATATAGCTCAGCTACCTTTTTTGGCGTAACCAATTAATGTTTAATTCGAATAAATAATTTCATCCAGTACATGACTTTCATTTCTGCAACAGAAAACACAGCAAAACGTCTAAATGAAAAATGGTTGAAATACGTAAATTAGTTTATCGTCATTATGTGTGACTTGCTGATAATCTCGAATAAATTCTCGTTTTTTGCCTTCTGCACTGAGTGTCATTCAGTAGGTCATACTAGTTGTAGTTTGATTTCACATAACTTGTAAAGTGTTAAGTTAAAATGGTACTACTTCTTCAGATGAAGACTGCAAAGCCAAAATGTTTATTATTTTCAGATAAATGACTGAGTTCAAGTACAGTTGATCTAAAGAAGTTACTTTCCTATAGAGGAAAGCATAAAAATTGCACTTTAGTCAAAATATTTGAAAATGCAATTTTTTTGAGGGATGGGTGGGGATTTTTATTAAAGTTTTTGTTTATTTGAAAGTTTAAAATGCTTCAATAAATGTATATCATGTGACTGACCTGTTCCGTTACTTCTGAGAAGAAAAAAGTTACTGCTGGCTTTTTATTACTGTATATAGACATATAAGTGAAATACAGATTTCGCAAAATAAAAACAAGTGGGTGAATGATGTCATTGTCTTTGTACCAATAAGGTAAATGCATTACATTATCAGAAAAGGCAAATGTTTACAGTGTTTAGTTTGTGCATCTTTAATGAATCTAATTCATGCATAAATTCACTTAGACAAAAGCGGAGTAAAATCTTCAACTCTTTGCTTCTACCTAGTGGAAATCTTCACAGGTCAGAAATTTGCTGTGGGTGGGACTAAGGTATGCATTTGTCTGTCTCATTAATTCATGTATGTGGTAAAAACTTTCTAAAATTCAATCTCCATTGACTGTGAAGTGTCACGTTCCCTTATTTTATGGGCATCTCCTTAATGTTGTTTGTTTAAACACAAATATTGCGTGTTTTTGCATTGAATTGCATTGCACATGCATATATCCATTGTAATATGAGTTTTTTATACATGTCATTTTCCATGTTTTATGAGTGGCATGGTGGCTCAGAGATCAGCACTGCTGCCTTGCAGGACTGGGGCCCTGTGTTCAGTTCCTGAGGTGCTGTCTGCGTGGAGTTTGTATGTTCTCTGTACGTTTCTCTGGGTTTCCTCCAGGGGCTTCGGTTTCCTCCCAGAGTCCATAAGACATACTGGTAGCTTAATTGGCTTCTGGGAAAATTGGGCCTGGTGTGAGTGTGTTTGCATGTGTCTGTTTTTATGTTTGGGTCTGCCTTATGATGGACTGGCATCCTGTCCAGGGTATATTCTGCCTTTTGCCGGTTGCTTGCAGGAATAGACTCCGGCCCCCCTGTGACCCTATATTGGACATAGCTGTAAGAAAATGGTGGATGGATGAATATTCCATGTCTTTCAGCTCTCAAACGTTTAGACTTCAGGTGTTTTCTGTTGTTTCAGTAAGAAGTTTGCCATCCACTAGGGGGCGTAGCTCTTCTGTGTTAAGCAGCAGACTGTTTTGTTTCTTACTCATTGGCTAGCTGGAAATTTCAGGCCCCCGACAATGCAAATCAAACACTTGTGCACAAGATTTTTAAATAAAAGCAAATAATGTTTTTTAAAAAAAAGGAATCGGGCTCAACAGAGAACAGACTTTGTCTTGTTTTTTTTCATAACTGAGATATGGTCGATAATGTTGCATCGCATTGAGGTGAAGAATTAATCACATCCACACAATATGGTTATTTTTCACTTAAACTGATCGTAATTCCAGATCTAAGCTCACCTTGACTTACAATGCTAGTGATGTAATGCATAATGCATAATGTAGCACAGACCAGTGTAAAGACAGACTGCCTGTAATTGTTGCACTCTTGTTAATGGACGTGTTATCGTTGCGTTGCCAGAATGTTTTTTTTAAACTCTCATAGTGCACCTTACAGCTAATGCAGATTTTGCCAACTGCTAAGGCCCTTATGGACACGACTCTTTAAAGCAACACTGTGCTTGAAAGGAATGTAATAATGGTCTGGAAGTAAGTGGAGACTTGGAGCAATATGTTGGGTCAATCAGCAGAGTATGGCTAGCCTAGGCCACAAAAATGTTATTGGCTGTAGTTCGGAAGTTAGGAGGTGGGCATCATCTGTGATTTGTGTATACAATAGTCATAAGGCAGTGTGTTTTGAAAATGTTGCACTGTTTGAAGTTAAAAAAAATCCTTTATTCTGTATTTTTAGCAGTTTTTTCTCAATAAACATTGATTCATCCCCACCCTTTCTGACTCTTTTTACAAAGGTGTAATCCCAAACACAAAGAATTTAAAGAGCTTTAAACCTGCAATCTGTTTTAAAGATAATAGGTATATTGGGTGGTGAAGACATGGTATAACATGTTTTACAATATAATATGTATTCCATAAAGCAGTGTAATTTATTTCTAGGTAGCTGTACAAGTAAACATAAAAAACTGTCTCAAAGGAAATAAATGGAAGCACATGATCTTTCCCAGAGGAATGAAAGAGTGTGATTAACTAGATTTTAGTTAATATCTAGTGGTTTTATGAGCTGGGTGGCTGCTTGGTGGCACAGTGTTCAGCATTGCTGTCTTGTAGTGCTGAGGTCCTGGGTTCAATTCCTGGGGTGCTGTCTGTGTGGAGTTTGTATGTTCTCCCTCTGTTTGTGTAGGTTTCCTCTGGGTGCCCTGGTTTCTTCAGACAGTCCTACCATGTTTTCATTAATGAAATGAAATCCAGTCCGCTCCCTGCAGTCTGTTTCTCCAAATGAAGCTTAATCCAAACGCACGTATTTTCCCACAGTACCTCCTGGAGAAGGTGAGACCTGAGAGAGCCAGTATATTGTATGGAGCTGAACATCTGTGCTCCGCAGCACACAGGGGTCCAGACTGTGCTTTACATATTGGCAGCACTAATTCTGCCCTGGTGTAACAGTTAAGGTTTGGACAACTAACCATAGGCCAGTGGATTCAGATCCTCTCTGCTGTTGAGCACGGCGTTCCAATTATCCAGTTGTTCCAGTCCACCATCTTAACCAGGTGCAGGTCAAGCCAAACAAAGGAGTAATTACTGATATTTCTGAAATAGATTGTTTTTTACCTCAAGGCTAACTGGAATGATTGGTCACCACACCCCTGGTATAATTTTCTGTGTTATACTGCGACGTCTTTTAAATAAATTAAAAGGGATCGTTTTTATGTCA